AATAAGATAAATAACCTTGAAATGATTTAAAAATCAAACCAAACCCAATTCTAAAACTATGTGGAGGTCATTGTTAGTTTATTTTAAAATGTTTGATATCTTTATAATACACAAGGTAATGTACAGAGATACATACTGACATTATTATTGCTGGGACAGAGAGGCCCGCACAAACTACTCACCCACACTACACAGACTTTCCTGTTGTGGATAAGCTCCAGGGAGTTCATGTGCTGATGGCTGGGGAAAATCTTTCTGTCTGGTGCCCTCCCATCAGTCTGTCTCCCTGACTCCTCAGTGCTCCAGGGAGTTACCAGAAAACATCATAAGGTTGCATTCTTTAACTTGCACACCAACCCTGCCACATAGGAATACTTTTACGGCTTTGCTTTCTTTTTGATGTCTTGGAACCGGGACTGATTAAAATGGGACTGGGTAAAGAACAAAGCATAGGATATCATCTGCTCATTTCGACAGTCTGTCTCCCTGACTCCTCAGTGCTTCAGGGAGTTACCAGAAAACATCATAAGGTTGCATTCTTTAACTTGCACACCAACCCTGCCACATAGGAATACTTTTACGGCTTGGCTTTCTTTTTGATGTCTTGGAACCGGGACTGATTAAAATGGGACTGGGTAAAGAACAAAGCATAGGATATCATCTGCTCATTTCGCTCAGGGCCAGTCAAATTGCTGTATTAGTGCAAGTGGTGAACTGTGTTGTGTTAGAATCTCTGCATTGGTTTTAGATAGCAAAGCTGACTTCAAATGCTTCCTAGAAATGTAGTCATGTATATGGTCATCATGTATACGTTGAGCTTGGCTGAAATAAGTCATACTTAATTGTACCTTTGGCTGCCTTTTAACTTTGAATCAGAGAGTCCCTGGGTTTTATCTTGACTCTCAGTTTTATTCAGTGCCCTTAAGCAACTGTCTCTCTTTATTTTGGTTCTCTGTATCCAACACATGCCTCATGCATTGCATCATTTTGATACTGCCCAGGTGTTCAAAAGTGATATATAAATTACAAGTGGTACAGTTTTCCCCAATTTGTTTCTCTGTAGAAATTATGGGAATTGTAGTTCCACATATATGAAAGGCATTGATGGGGGAGATTACAGTAATACCATAATAAAATATGCAACAAAATGCTTATTACATGTGGTTTATTTGCAGTTGTTTTCATCATACACAGACTGCATGAACTGTAGTGTTTGATTACAAATTGGTAACAGAAGTAGATTAAAAGAAAAGAGGACTGTATGAGAGGACTGTATCACAATATATAGGGAGTACATGTTAAGGTCGGTTTGTTGCTTGTAATGCTGTACAATAGTATTCTTGAACAAGATAAAGTTCATTCTTTTTGGTAGATCTATGGAGATGTCAATTTGAGCATACCCTATATTTATGTATATGTCATTTCTATTTGTAGAAAGTGGAGCTGTTCCAAAAAAGAAGGATCAGTTGACTCATACTAGTAACTCGCTCCCTCGTTCAAAGTCTGTTGCAAAAGCTGGATCTGGAGGCCTTTCAGGGCACCAAAGGACACCTAGTTATACTGGAATATCCAATTTTAATGTGCCTAGACAAGGAAATGTTCCTGCTACTTCAACTCAGAAGGTAAGGTGGAAGTTTGCATTCATGATGAACTGTTATATTTGCCAGTTTTTCTTCAACTGAAAAATTGAAATTCAAAATTGAGGACTTGTGAAATAAAGGTCTCAATTATCATTTATAAAATGTATCTCAGAAATGTTATATACATACATAGCATACTGGTAGAATGCCAGTTTTGCCTGAAGAAGATTTCATGTTTGATCTCTGACATCTCTGTAGAACCAGAAGTGAAACTATCTAAAATTCTCAGGGTTTGCTTATAATTACTGTAGACAGTACTAAGCTAGATGGGCTAATTACAACCTTCATATAAGGTAACTTTGTATGTTTTTTTATTCCAGAGCATCTTCTAGACCAGCTCTGGACAATGTGTGGGCCTCCAGATATTGCTGGTCTGCAGTTTCTGTCAGCTTTAGTAGCCATAATGAATGATGACCAATGATAGAAGTTACCATCCAGCAACTTCTAAGGGTCACACATTTCCGAGTCCCATTGTAGAAGAAAATGCTACTTGTATTCTTCAAGTTCCTATTCTGATTGTGATCAGGAGTTTTATCCAGTGGCTGCTGAAGAAGGGCCAGTGGAAAGGGTAGGGATATAGTTTTTAGCAGTTTTCTCTTCCCCTGATTTTCCCAGATCTGTTCGGGAGAGTTGAGATGTGCTCAGAGAAAGATTTGAAAAATGTGGGCAAAGAAAATGCTAAAAATCTCATTATATCGAGGAAAGGTTTTTGTCAACAGAGGGAATTAGTTGGATTCTGTTCTGTGTGATAGAGGTTAGCAGCCAGTATTGTTGGAAAATCTCATCTTCTCAGTGGTTTATATGAAGATAGTTTGAGTAGCTTCAGTGATATTATAGGTATTGAACAGTATACACACAGATGTGGGATTGGTTTTTCTCTTCCCTCTGAGAAAACAGAATTTCCTCTATTCAGCATAAAGTTTTCATTCATACATGCATGCATTTTGCTTACATATTGCCTTTCTCTGATGACCCTTTTTATGAAGTGTCTTGAAGACTATTTGAAAGACAAATATTGAAATAGCTAAAACAGAATAAATTACAACATTTAAAAAAAAAGGAAGATGATCCTTATTAAAATGATTTGAAGAAAAACAATTTTAAAATTACTTAAAAGCGTATTTAAGAAGGTAAAATTACAACATTGCCTTTTAGGCATCCAGTTATTTAGCAAAAGCCTGCCTGAATATGAAGATTTTTGTCTGCTAGCAGAAGGCCACCAAGGATAGGCAGCCTGGCTTTCTTTGGCAGTATATGCTACAGCCTGGGAGCAGCTATCAAAAATGCGTTCTGTTATGTGCTCACCAGGCACACCTGTGAAGATGATGAGACCTAGAAAAAGGTGCCCTCTGAAGACCCTCTAAGCGGCCCAGAGTAGTCATTTGACTAGATGGGCAGGGTATAAATGCAAGAAAGACAGAAAGACAGACAGACAGACATGTGAAAGCAGTATTTCAGAGACTACATCAGTGTGGTGAAATATATGTGTATATTTCAGGCAACAGTATAACTATGTAACATATTCATCATGTCCTGCCCATTCCTGCTTTTATTTGATGGCAGTCTGCTTATAGTCTAAAAGATTCTTAGAGATATTGGGGAGGAGGTTCTTGTTACACATGATATTTGTCTCAGCTAAAGAACTAGTTAAACTTTAGTTAGCGATTACAAGCTCCAAACCAGAAGAAGGTGCAGGAGAAATTGGGTTGGAGGGATGCATGCTGAAGGGCATGCACCCAAAGACCAATTTCCCTTCTTGATTAAGCTATATGGTGAAAAGAAAATGTTTTTTTTCAGCCTACTGGCCACCTCTTACAATGAAAGCTAGTTTAATTTTCAATTAGTATTAAAATGTGTGAAATAATTGTTTCTTCAGGCTACTCCAAAAAACAATAGAGCGAATAAGCCTTCTACTCCGACAACTGCTGTGCGGAAAAAGAAAGAAGCAAAGGTTTTTAGAAATGTGGACAGTAATCTTGCTAATCTTATTCTTAATGAAATTGTAGACAGGTAAGTACTAATGAACACATTTTATTATTGTCTTCTTTTGTTGGGGTTTCTTTATAGTATTGGAGGGGGATTTTTGGGAATTCCAAGGATTCTTCTTAAAAGTCAAGTATTGCTCTCTGTATTCTTTTTCTTGGTGAGTTTCAAGCAATCTTTTGGTGGGGCTGACTAGATAAAGCATGAAGACATATCCCTAGGAAATGGACCACTTTAATGTAAATGGGAATAATATCATAAGGGTAATAGATTTCCTACAATTGTCTGTGATTAAGGGTATGAAACTAACCAGCTGCACCCTGGAAGAATGAAATGTCTATTGTTGCACTAATTGTTATTCTGTATCTGTCAGTGGACCATCTGTCAAATTTGATGATATTGCTGGGCAGGAGCTAGCTAAGCAGGCATTGCAAGAAATTGTTATCCTTCCTTCTCTTAGGCCTGAGGTAAGCAATCTGCTTTTAGTCACTTTTTATACAACACCCGTGAAACTTATCTTGTATAGCAAACTGTATTCTAATAATCTTTTTATTCTCAAAATTTGGTAACTAGTTCACATAACACATTGAAAGGAAATCAAAGCTGTTATCCACTCTCTCTGCAGAACCTACAAACAGCTCTTACACTGTTTTAGATAGTTCATAACTCTTTGGAGCAGATTTTTAGAGAGACCCATAGGCTTGTAGAGGAATACAAGAATGGGGAAAATCACTGCTTTTGCTGTTCTGTTAGAAATACATGCTGGATCAGAACTTTCTGCAGGTGGGAATAACCATTCAATTTGCAGAAGGCAAATTTTGAATCCATCCCAGTATCAGGATATACTGTGTTGCTATAGCCTATAAATGAATCAGTATATGTAATCATGTGACATACGTAACATGCTGAAATAATTCACAAGCCCTTGAATATTTCTATCAGAAAATTGCATCTGTCCTTTTCATATACAGTAGCTCTTAAAAATAACCAGGGCATTGCTTCCCATCTTTGAGTAACTCTGGTGTTCTTGGTCTGCAACTCCCAGAATCTCCGGCCAGCATAGCTAATAGGGAAGACTTCTGGGGGCTGCAATCCTAGAACACCTGGGTTATCCAAGGTTGGAAACCACTGATCTTGGCAACCTGTTTTCAGTGTATCCATACAGCCTTCTGAAAATTATTACCTGGGTATCTGAATGTTTTGTCAAATACAGTATTTTATATAGACTCATGCTTGTTTAGTGTTGTGAAACTCTGTGTAACTCATATGTTCTTTCAGTTATTTACAGGACTGAGGGCTCCTGCACGGGGATTGTTGTTGTTTGGCCCACCAGGAAATGGAAAGACGATGCTGGTGAGAACTCATTTTTGTTCTTAGAGATGTATGAATCAGTCTATGCCATGTGTTAGTTTTCCATATATTCAGTCATAATTCCTTTTAGCAACTTTATTTTTACTAGACAACCTCCATCCTATATTTTCATATGCATTAATAAAAATAAGATAATCCTAAAGGGAAATAGGAGTGTATTTTATTTCTGAGTCCAATGTACTCTAAATGGGAGCATGTTAAATGAGAACATAATACCTTATGAGGAAGATTCATCTTCTAATTATAGGAGCAGACATGCTAGACTTTAAAAATAAGATGCTGTGTATTGTAAACACTTTGACTATTTGGATTTATCTTAAGTGTATTGTACTATTAAACATTTCAGCAATATACTGTTACTGTTGTCCTGTACTATAGTTCTAATTTGGTGGATTTTTTCCCTTATTTAAGGCCAAAGCTGTGGCTGCAGAATCAAATTCAACCTTCTTTAACATAAGTGCTGCAAGTCTAACATCAAAATATGTAAGTAACAACTGTGTATTGTGGCTGAACAGTTAAGAAAACACCTTAGGAGTTCATAATTTAATGGGTTGTGCTTGGGAAGCATAACTGGGGAAGTGCTTGCTCTAAGAATATTTATTTATTTATTTACAATGCTTTTTAGCCACACTATTACCAATGATGCTACTCCCAGTTTTGTCCCAACCTTATTTTTCTTTCAGAGCTGCAGCTAGAGTCTGCAGATTTGTGGACAGTGGCAGGTTGGGATTCTGAGCAAAATTGAAAATTTTTGGATAAAGTCCATATACACACCTGACTTCAAAGCCACTTTGGGGAGGACAGTACAGAGGTTTTTGGTTTTGTTTTGTTTTAAAGGAAAGCATGCTTTATGAAACTGATGAGACCTGACTTAGATCATCAGAATGCCTACTTATTTATATTATCAGTTTCATTGTAAATGAAAGAATTAGCCATAAAAAAGTTTAAAATACTGGCTAATAATAATGCTGCAGTACTGTACTAAGCCTGAATGTTGTGGGAAAATGAGGCAGCCTGCTAGTGCACATTGTCAGATTGCTGAGAGAAATGGCTAAACAACCATGGATCTTCCATCTATGGTACATTTATTGAAATGCCTGGACTTAGCAGTCTGGCTTGTTTTGCCCAATAAGAATCATAAGGCATCGCTACAAAATTCTGGTTTTTGTTGTAGCCAGATGTGCACACTGTGTTGTTCTGGTCAGACTTCTTTTCTCTCATTAGACTAAGATTTGGTTTAAACGATAGAACTAATGCTGTAACATTCCAAGCAAGAAATAAATTTTCCCTTGTAAATCTTGCACATAGTTCTCCAATGAGTTAGATTAAGTCTACCAGCTGCCAGCAGCCAATTGCTAGTAGGGATAATTATGCCTTTCAAGGCACTCTTAATTCTCTGTAATATGTAATACTTCCCTTAAGTGCTAATCTCTTCTTCCTCTTAATGTTTCTTCTTAATGACATCACAAACCGTCTCTCTTCAGTTCTTCCCACTTGTCTGTTCTGGCAGCTAGAGCACCACTATTCTTGTAAACGAAGTAAGAGGATCAAGGCCAAGGAAGCTTGGCTTGCTAGAAAATGACCAGTATTTATAACTTTATTTACATACAGAAAATAGCAGAGAGAACAATACCTAACTGATTAAAAATCATTTCCATAGCAAGTCAGTTTAGTTGCCAAAAGCCTTTTAGAATCAAAAAGGTACTTGCCTGTCAGCAAAAGAACAAGAATGACGCAGGCTGAACTTTCCTTTCTTGGGAGGGCCACAGAGATATCTCTTTCTCACAACTACACCAAACAAGCCAGGGGATTGAGTGACGGAGTCTCCTGAAGACTTCATATCTAGGCAGGCTCATGTGGAATAATAGGACTCCCCCCCCAATACCCACATTCTATGAGAAGAGCCTTTGGAGGAAACTGCTGGATTTCTCTTATTGGGGACAGTTTCCCTTTTAAATGCTGCTGGTTGTTTTATTAGCTGGTGGCTGCTTCTGCCAGCTTTTCCCCCTTTCCTCCTGATTGCCATTTTGTGTATCTTTATTACTGTGATGATTACTGTGTTCATTTTGGGTTGATTCCAGACTAGAACATGCTTAGATAGATGCATTGAAATCAAGTCTTGATCATAGCCATTATGTTTTTGAATGATGAAAATCAGTGGGTCCCAACCTTTTTGACACCAGGGACCAGTTTAGTTGGAGACGATTCTCCCAAGGACTGGGGGAGGTGGCATGTATCCGTGTGTGCATGTGTCTGTGTGTGCATGTGTGGGGTTCTTGTGTGCATGTGGGAGGCATGTGTGTGTCCATGGTGTGTGTGTGTGTCCATGTGGGTGGTTGGGTGTGTGCGTGCACATGGGGGGGTCGGGAGTGCACGCACAATTCTTCAGCCCTCAAAAATCTGTCTTGGCAGCCTGGTCCTTCCAAGGCCATGGACCGGTCCCGGTCCGTGGCCTGGGGGTTGATGACCCCTGACGTAAATAAAGCTAATAGTTTTTAAATAAAAGCAATAAATCCTGGTACATATTTGTTAGGGTAACTATGTTGTAAAATGTGATGACAAGTAAAGTTATCATCTGAAGCAGATATTAGAGAATTCCTTTTTTTCCCCACTCCAGGTTGGTGAAGGGGAGAAATTAGTGCGTGCTCTTTTTGCAGTAGCCAGAGAACTTCAGCCTTCTATCATTTTTATAGGTAAATTTCTATATTTGCCAAATAGAGATTCATGCACTTTTATAAGAAATTCTTTATGTGATTAGAGAAAAGTGATTCTTGGTTCATCTTCTATCTTATTTGATTAATTATAATTTCTTAAAAGTATGTTATAATTTATTTTGTACATGTTGTGTTCTATACTGTGTGTTGGAAAGTACTTTGACAACCTGTATTGAAAAGTGAGGTATTAGATACCAAACTGATAAACAATCCAGTAGATGAGTCAGATATATGGTTTATGAATACCACAGACTGTTAGAAAGAAAAGTCAGTAAATTCTAGATCAGGTCAAACCTGAACTCTCTAGAATCTAGAATAACTAAACCAAGAGAGGTGTTTTCCCATTGTCTGTTCCAAGACTCCCTAGAAAAGATAGTAGTGCAAAGAAATGAAAGGAATTGGAAAAGAGGGAGCCTGGAAGTGACATGGATTGTCTCATGGCTTTTAGTTTGCAAAGAGTTGACCAGGGCTCTTAATAACAGGATGTTTTGGGGGTCATAAATTCATAGGCATAAAATACCTAAAATCCTGTTGTACACATGACTTTTTTTTTGCAAACCAATTGCTGTAAGCTAAGAAATCTCCATAGACATTGTCTGTTTCATACTGAGTTGTGTGACTCAGCATGTGACAGATAAGGTCTGCAGTGATGTCTTAACTTATGGCACTATGTATCTAAAAGTTAACACTGTTTGCGTAACTGCCCAACAAGATTTCAGCCAATGATAGATAAATAAAATAAATGTGCTCGCTCATCAAAATATTTATAGAAATAAAAATAACTACAAAAATATATAGCTGCACTAAAAATAATACAAATTATTTAGCTACCTTTTTTAGGATCACAAATTTTATGTTGACATTTTTTTTAGATGAAGTGGATAGCCTATTGTGTGAAAGAAGAGAAGGTGAACATGATGCAAGTAGACGTTTAAAAACAGAATTCTTAATAGAGTTTGATGGTGTAAGTATTAAATGTACTATAATATTACAATGATGGATGCTAGCAGCAGTTATTTAGCATCTGAAATTTATTAGCAGATCTTATGCCTTCTAACTCTTTCATGGATTGCTGCCTTGTTGTGGCGAAGGGGCTGGAGTAATTCAGAGAAGCTAGGGGCTATACCATGCAGGAACCCCCAAGACGGACAGGTCATAGTGAACAGTTCTGACTAAACGTGATCCACCTGGAGCAGGTGTTGTCAAGCCACTCCAGTATCTTTACCAAGAAAACCCCATGAACAGAAACAAAATGCTAAAAGATATGATGCTGGAAGATGACCCCTCAGGTTGGAAGGCATCCAACATGCTACTGAGGAAGAGTGGAGGACAAGTAGCTCCAGAGCTAATGAAGCGGTTGGGCCAAAGCCAAAAAGACGCACAGCTGCAGATGCGCCTGGAAGTGAAAGGAAAGTCCGATGGTGCAAAGGAAAATAGTGCATAGGAACCTGGAATGTGATATCTATGAACCTTGATAAGTTTGATGTGGTCAAACAGGAGATGGCAAGAATAAACATTGACATCCTGGGCATCAGTGAACTAAAATGGACAGGAATGGGCAAATTCAATTCAGATGACTATTATATCTACTACTGTGGGCAAGAATCCTGTAGAAGAAATGGAGTAGCCCTCATAGTCAACAAAAGAGTGGGAAAAGCTCTACTGGGATGCAATCTCAAAAATGATAGAACGATGTCAATATGAATCCAAGGCAGACCTTTCAACATCACAGTAATCAAA